TGTCCCATCCCGACAGACCGGCCCTCCCCGAACGCCTTATCGCCACCTCCAGGTGAGCCCGGCCCAAGTTTCTGGTGCGCATTTTATTATGTTTCCGGTGCGCATGCTAGACGCGGTGCTGGGCCGGGCGTCTCCGGCGATCTCCTGTCTAGAGCACAGCCGTGAGCACTTTGTAGAGTCAGAGTAGTAGAAGATATAGCTCTAGGAGTGAGTAGTTGTAGTGGTAGATATAGGGGTGAGTAGTTGTAGACATTAGTATATGAGTGGTTGAACATACAGGGGTGAGTAGTTGTAGACATTGGTATATGACTCGAGTGGTTGAACATAGGGGTGAGTAGTTGTAGACATTGGTATATGAGTGGTTGAACATACAGGGGTGAGCACTTTGTGGTAGTGGTTGAACATAGGGGTCAGTAGTTTGTAGAATGGTACAACATAGGGGTGAGTAGTTGTAGACACTGGTATATGAGTGGTTGAACACACCCGTGAGCACTTTGTAGAGTAGTGGATCTAGAATATATATATATAGGCGTGAGTAGTTGTAGAGTAGTAGAACATATTGGGTGAGCACTTTGTAAAGTTGTAGTAAGACATAAACATAGGGGTGAGTAGTTGTAGACATTGGTATATATGAGTGATAGAACATAGGGGTGAGCTCTTTGTGGTAGTGGTTGAACATACAGGGGTGAGTAGTTGTAGACATTGGTATATGAGTGAAGGAATACAGCGATGACCAGTGGGAGAACGCTGGGTCAACGGTGAGCACTTGAAGAATTGGTAGACATGTGATAGAATACAGGGGTGAGCACTTGAAGAATTGGTAGTCACGTGGTGGAATACAGGGGTGAGCACTGTTTTTATTTCTCAAACACCTCAAACTTCCGATGCGGAAAAGAAGGCAAGAGCGTGTGTACAGAAAAACACAAATTTACTAGACCTGCGTATGACAGGACTACAGCCGATGCAAGAGCCATTTTAACATTTTACTACTTGGCACAACCACCCCAACCCCCCTCCTCAATCCCCACAACCACCCCAACCCCCCTCTATCCCCACAACTCACCCCACCCCTTCCCCTCAATCCCCCAACTCCATACCCCCACCACCTCCCCATCCTCTGTCTCACCCAGACAGCTACAAATTACAAACCTCACAGGACAGGGCGCTTGTAAAACCCGCGGGTCAGAATCTAGAACCTACCATACGTACACCCAGGGGTACACCCACCCAGCGGTACACCCACCCAACGGTACACCCACCAGTACACCCCACGGTACTCCCGCATTTCCAATAACCAGTTTAGTTTTAGTAAGAGTTTTACGGCACTTGCAACACAATAAGGTCATATAAGTGCCGAAGGTTAGAGGTGTTACAAGAGAGTAACAAACACTAAAAAGGAGGAGAGATAGAGATGATAGATGACCTTGTTTTATAGGAAAGAAGGAGCAAACCACACCAGAACACCTGCCAACCACCCACTATTTCATTCAGACTTCTTTTCTGGCAGTTTGGCCCGCACACTTCTGCAACCTTTGGGG